GGATATCTCCCTCCACGCGCCATGGCTTTTGACACAGAGCAAGTCACAAGAGCCCGAGGAGGACAGACCTGCTGCCACGGAGGGGCACCGCCATCCAGAGAGCTTCTCCACCGCCCTGGTCTGGCGATCACGCTGGCGAGCAGGGACAGCATAGGAAATGCTACATGGGAAAGCCCAGTGTGAGAGCCCAGGAGCCCCTGCCTTCCCACAGCAGACTTATCAAGGCACCAGTTCAGAGTGGCGCTTTCCATGGGCCAAAAGGGAAGTGCATACACACCAGACTTCTCGGGGTCAAGGATGCTGGGCAAGCAGCGAGCCGAGAGGCTGCAGGGGGCAAGGGAGGGAACCGGGGCGTGGGGAGGGAGACACAAATAGCAAAATGAATGGCTTGAACTTCCTATGTTTTATGGAGGCGCATAAAAGGAGACAGAGTGGGGGAGAGAAAGGAGACCTGGGTGCTTGCACACGCTCTCACGCACACGCGGGCCAGCCCAGAGCCCAGAGCCCATTGGTGGCCAGCGTGGCACAGCAGCCTGCACCCACTTGGCTGCCACGGCTCTGGGCCAGCTGCTTGTCTGGCCCAGCGTCCCCCGAGAACACCTCGCGAAGCGTGACAGGCTGCTGCTTAGCACTTATTCCTCCCCCTGTCATTATTATTTTGAACAACAGCCAGTATAATTAAAATCGTTTGAAGGAGGAGATTTAGGGAACATCCAAAGTGTCTCGGAAGAGCATCTGCAAAGCTGGAGGTCCAAACTCCACCCTCACACTTGCAATGAGCAGGGCCCAGGGGAACCATCATCTTCTCTGCGTCCTCCCTTCCACGCTCCCCGTTTCGCAGGGTGGCAGAGGCTGGGCTACCACGCGGGGTGGTCCTGGCCACGTTCCCCTCTGCGGCTGCTGCCTGCTGCAGCCAAATCCTGCAGCCCTTCCTGGTGCAGGACTTGTCCCAGGAGGTCCAGATGGCAGTGTCCCCAGGCACGGGCTGCTCACGAGCAGCTCCAGGACAGATGTGGTGGGAGGTTGTGGGAAGCGGAGGACACAGAGCCTCTGTGGGCTGCTCTGCCGGGGTCGCACAGATTGAGCCTGTGATATGTCCTGGGAGCCATGCCGGTTTCTGTTGTGGTAGGAGAGCCTGTGCCACGAGATGAGGTGTGGAGAGGTCCCTTTGGCTCCTCAGAGGGGAAAACAGGATGGTCTGCAAGACAGAAATGCAAGTCACCATTCGGGCCAAATTCCCCAGGTTTCTTAAGTGTTTGGACGGAGCATTTTGGCCTCCAGGGTCAAATGTCCCTGGTGCCAGGGCTAGGAGCCTAAGGACATCGGACAGTTGCAGCAAGGAGGGGGAAAAAGGGCAGATCCCTGCCTCTATTCTGGGGCTGGCACAAGCTCATGTCTAGGGGATTGGTTCCCCTGTCTCTCTCCTCCTCCTCTCCCAGATTTGAGCTGCCCTGGGCTCAGAGAGGAACAGCAAAGTAACTATCCCCAGGGAGGTCGGTGCTGGGAATGGCTTGACCATCAGTACAGGAGGGTGGCTGGCTGCGGCTATCCTCATCAGTGATGCGTGCAGGCAGCAGGACCCCCGCTGTGGAGGCTGCCACGCCAGGTGGACATGGCTGAGAGCCAAAAGCGAACCACCCAACAGAGCCAGGAGCTCCCTGCTGCCGCCAAGGCAGGCTCACGAGGGTGAAAAGGAGGGGAGATGTATCAAAACCCCTCCCCAAAATCAGTGGTGCTCTGGCAAAGCCTACGGCAGCTGCTTCCATGTCCTGGCTGGCGTTCGTGGTGCTGGATGAGGGCTCGGGGTCTACCTACCAGCTACTTGCTGTCTGTAGCTCCCTGGATGGGGTATCTTGCTACCAGCTCTAGAGCCCACCCAGTGTGTCACCCAGGGACAGCCAACCTTCCTGTCCCTACAAGCCGTGACCCCAAGGCTGAGATCCTGGAGACCTGGGCACACCTGAAATTAGGAGGTGTCTCAGGACAGAGCTTCCCTGTGGGTCTCGTGGCCCTCTCCTCTCTGCCTTCTCCAAAAGGAGACCAGATTGAGCCTCTGGTGGTTGGGAACAACAGAAAGGGTGGGGTTTGGCGGCCAATCTCCAAATGAATGTTGGTGACTTGAATCTGCTGGGGATACTGGAAGCAAGGAAAGCTCATCCAACTTGATCCAGCCCATCCACAGGGTCCAAATCAGCTGACACTCACTTGGGAAACACTATAATTCAGTGGGAGAACCAGGTGAGATTTTATGGGTTTTTATTTTGCAGCAAACTCTTCTCCTGGCTCCGCCGGCTCTGCCTGCAGAGGGGAGCTGCCAGCAAGGCACCATGTGCAGAGACTTTCACAGTGCCTCTTGGTGTGCAGGGGTCAGCTAAAGCCCCCTCCCAACCTCTCCGCCAAGTCCAGCTCCAGAGACAGGCTCGCCCCTGCTCTGTTTTTAGCACATTCAAGTAGCTGCTTTCACAAGAGGTAAAAGAAAGTTCATGGATCCGTTGACAGATCAGCCCAAGCGGGAATTTCTCTGGGAATTCCTGCAATAGCAGGTTGGCTCCCGCGGAGGTGGAGTTTCCTCTGGATCTACCTCCACCCAGGCTTGGGGAGCGCTCCGGCCACCGGCTCCACGCTTGGGGGGCTGGGCTGAGCGACGCCACTGATGCTTCCCAGCCAAGGTCAGCCAGAAACCCTCCCCGCTCCGCAAACGCCTGTGCTGTTAACCCTTGGGAAGAGTGGAGATGCAGGCTGGCAGGGTTAGGCTGCAGAGCTGGCCCATGCCTGGAGGCATGCAAAGGAAGGAGGCATTTTCTTCTCCTGCCCAGCAGGCAGTGGACGGGACTGAAGGCGTGAGGATTTCATGCCGTTATGTTCCTTGGGAACCCGCTGCCATCCAGGCAGTCGTGGGGCCTGGGCGAGGACGGTCCGCTGCGGCAGGAGGCCGGCGTTGGCGGGTGACGGGTTTGTCGCTCAGAGGCAGGGAGCGACGGGGTGACGGCGCTCAGCATCAGTGACTGTGTGCTCTGGAATCTGAGACACGTCCCCGGCCATACTTGTGGTCAGGAACCATCTTCGCGTTGCAGTGATACAAACCACATTCACAGTGGCAGCAGTGCCGCTCGAGCGTGCCTCTGACGCCAAGGACCGGCATGACCCGACCCCACACACGGGACAGGCAGCTGCCCGCTTCCAAGGACCTCCAGAAGGTCCCCTTGTTGGGACTTGTTACCTCCTCCCTCACAGAGGAGGGCCTCTCCAAAATGGCACCCCCTCGCTTCACGGCCAGACCCTGCCAAGGGATGGAGGCTTTCCAGATGCTGCAGAGGCTCCAGACGGCGGGTTGGAGGGAACTTGCATTCGCAAACATGGGGCCAAGCCAAGAAGTTTCAAGGTAGCTCCAAGTGTCATGCCAGGGAGAGGGTCTGGAGCTCAGGTTTGGTCTGGGGCCACCTCTGCTGGTTTGGAGATGAATCGAAATGTGTCTTACACATCTGGGGAGCAGCTCTTGCTCGAGGGGATCCCAGAGGTCTGTCCAACTCCATGCGAGCTGCCATAAAGAATAGCAAGCTGGCAGCTTTAGGTACCTAACAGGCAGTTTTGGGGGACAGCCACCCAGGAGAGGTTTAGCATTGATCTGTTCAATACTCCCCACCTTTGTGTGCTGGTAAAGCTAAATTCTGCCCTCAGTGATTCAGTTGCCACAGGACACAGCAGGGCTGGAGCTGAGCTCAGGCAGCCCTGGTTCCCAACACCTAATAGTGCAGCCTGAGGCCACACGTAGCACATCTCCATGCTTTCGCTCGATCCGCAGCCCTGTCGAGGCAGGACACGGCCGCTCTTTACCAGCACAGTCAGGGCCCTCTCCGAAACATCCGCGCTTGGCGAAGGCTGTGAAGCCGGCTGTGCGGGAGGAGGCATCGAAGGCCCTGCCAGGAACCAGCTGGAAAGAGCAATAATATTCAGCAGCGAGTCCCATTGCGCAGCTCCTGGGAGGGGGGATGACGAGGTGGGGGGGGGAACGACACATGCCGCCCTCGCACAGTGTACGAGTGCCACCTACAGGGGGGCTCTATGCCCTGGCCTGGGCACCCCCAAACCATCCGTCCCCTGTCCAGCCTTCTGTTAATTAGTCTCAAGTCCCTAAGGCTGTGCTGGCCTGGTCGCACAGCCCCACGTCTCGCTTTAGCCAAGCGGCGAGGCTGAGGGTGACCCGCCACGGGACTGCAGCCACGGGCGATATTCTTGGGGTGCTCGATCGCTGCTGGAGCCGTTTCCCCGGCTGCTGTCTCGAGTCGTCTTCTCAGGCGGTGCTGCTGCCTGGGCTGCGGCGGCTCCATCGGGATCAGCTCACCTGTGGCTGGCTGGTGCTGGGGGGGCCAAGCGAGGCCCACCTGTGGCAGGGGCCGGGCAGGTTATAAAAGGCAGGGCTCCCCATTGCCTGCTCTTACCCAGGCTGGGCTGTGTATGGGGTGCGGCAGTCCTCGGGCCTCCACGATGGGGAATCACCCGGGGCCCAGCTCTGTGAGTCTTCAGGGTTGTCGGCGGTGGGGATCCCTGAGGGATGGGGATGCCAGGGCGGGCGGCCTGGCTCAGCCGCCGCTGCCCCGCGACAACAATTTTGGGACACACGCGTCCATGCTGCCTCGGGGAGCCCTGAAACAGCACGGCGGGGGAGGGACCGCGGGAGCCGCGGCAGGACCGAGGGGACTTTCCCCCCTCACTCTGCCCCGCTCCCTTGCCGGACCATCAGGGCGGCGGCCTGCGGCTCCTGAGGGGACGGACTACAGCCCCCATAGTGCCCCGCGGCGGGGGCCGGGGCGGGCGCGGGGCATGCTGGGAGCTGTAGTCCCGCCGCCCGTTGGGAAGAGGCGGGCGGGAGGCCGGAGGACTACAGTTCCCGTCGTGCCCCGCGCGCAGCCCGCCCGCCCGGACTGCGGTACCGGGGGGCTGTGGTGGGCAGCGGGCAGTCCGCCGACCAGCCCCCGTCCGGCCCCCGGGACCGGCCGCCGCGGGGAGCGGCGCGATGGGAGGGGAGGAGGAGATCGTACGTATCGCCAGGCGGCTGGACAAGATGGTGGCCAAGAAGAGCGCGGTGAGTGGCGGCGGCCGGGCCCCCGCAGCCCGGTTGGGGTGAGGGGGAGGGTGGGGGCCCTCCCCGTTCCCCGGTTTCCCCTTCCCCGGTTTCTGGTCTGGCGACCGGGGCCTCCCTCTCCGCGGGGGTCCCCGTCCTCGCTGCCGTGCTGCAGGACACCCCCCCCCACTTCTCTCTCAGTGCCCGTTGTGAGGGGGCATCCCCCTGCCCCCATTTTGGGCTCCTCCCTCTCTATACAGTCGTTACCGTGGCGGAGCAGAAGCCTTCCCGCCCCCCCAAGGTGGGTTTCCCTCCCCCAGACCTGGTTGCAGCGGGGGGGGGGGTGTCCCCCTCCCTGGGCCCCTATCCGTTGCGGCGGTGTGGGATCCACCCCGTTCCATCCCAGTGCCCGTTACTGGGAGTTACCCCAGGGTGCTGTGGGAACCCCTTCTCCCCATGCTGTGCCCCCCACCCCAGGCCTCATGCACCCCCAGCCCCACAGCTCAGCACCCTGTGCTGCCTTGCTGGGGCGTTCTCCTCCTGGGGAGCATCCTCAGCCCTCCTCCCCTGTCCCGTTGGGAGCCCCCTTGGGAATGGGGACCCTCAGGCATCCCCCCAGCACTGGCCTGGGGCTCTGTTACGCTCTCAGGGAAAACCCCAGTGCTTCTGTATTTGCCTCCTGCATCCCCATCCCATGCAAGCACCACTTCTGCTCGCTCTCATGTGGCCTTTCGAGTGTGGAGGGCTGGCCTTGCTCCTGTCTGCACACTGGGGGTCTCGCAGGGTGTATTGTAACCGGTGTGACTTTAGGGGGGACAGTAGCAAGTATTTCCCTGCCTAAAGGGATATGGCAGTCGGTGCTCATACGAGTACAAAGAGCATCACACCAGTGCTAAGGCAGTGAGCTGGGTGACGAGGGTTTGCGACGGAGGTAGGCTGTACATCTGTGTTTGGGGTGGGGGAGAGGGCTTTTGGGGCCAGGGAGGGCTGCAGGGAGTGGGAGGTGATGGGCGAGGAGGGGAAGGGATTAGGGGAATGTGGTATTTGGGTAATGGGATGCTGGGTGCAGTTGTCACGTGAACTTTTGGATGCTGGGCCGGCTCTGCCAGCCGCGTATAGGGGTGAGCACTGGCACTTGTGTAGCTGTTGTAACAACCCAGGAAAGTGTGTTTGGGCTAAACCGCAGCCTGTGATGTCTGTTCCCGTTGATGGCAGGTTTTCAACACCATTGTTGAAATAGGAAAGGAGCAACTTTGCAGAATTTGCTTCCAAGCTTCACTGAGAAAGAGGCAGCTTCTTAAATGAGCGGTATGCAATGTTTCCTCTTGGTTGGCATTTTATATGGTACTGAACCATAGCGTGTTTATTGTATATCGGCTAATTTGCGAACTCTTCCTGCAGGATTGTTGCCTGGAGTACCTGTTTGTTGCTCTAGTTTTTGCATGGATCCCCATTTGCTGCCACTGTGCCAAGTGGCTCCATTTCTGATAACGGAGACAGGAATCACCTGGTCATTTTGTATGTTAAGGGCTGGATTTAATGGAGTCCATTTGGCTGTTGGAGGAACAGAAAGGTGTGAAACTCCCTGAGTGGGAAGCTGCTCATTCTGGGTATGGTAACGTGTGGTTTATGCTGCTGTGAGTTGCTTGTGTGCATGCTGAAAGCTTTGACTCTGCTTTGATTTGGCTTTCTCAGCATCTGTTCTGTAGGCTGGCACTGGCAGCTGGATTGCTTCCTACAATGAATTGGAAGCAGCCCTTCTGCGTAGGGAGGACGGGATCTGAGGACAGGGTCTGTCAGTGCAGGCTGCTTTGCTTCTCTACTCAAGGCTCTGTAGGTCTTGTGCTGCAAATGGGCTTGGAGTGGTTGGTGTTTTAAATGAGCTCTTAAATGTGAACACTAGAAGGCCTTGTTTGGTAGAAGGGGGATGGGAGGAAAAAGCAAGCTGAATGGAGATGGCATACTCCAGGCTGTGATCTGCTGAGTGCTGCTGAAGGGAGACTTGGCCAGTGCTTCTGTCCCTGCCATTTCTCTGAGTGACTACCAATTTTAGGTATCTACAGATTGCCTAGTCAGATATTTTTTTTCTGGATCTGGGTTCTGGGATGCAGAGCTGATGCAAGGAAACCTCATATAATGAGTGTCAAGTGACCAGCTCTTCAGTGTCACTGCTTGATGGCTTTGCTCCTGCTATCAGCTCTTGTCCTGAGCAGAGTGGGGTACCAACATGAAAACTAGGAAACAGCTACATTAAGTTTCAAGGTGTAGAAAGAGGATACTTTTAGCTCTGTCTCTGGGCAATGACTCTGAGCTTTAGGTGGGTGGTGACTGAAGTTCTTGCAACTCTGCTAAACTGTTCTTGCGAGCTAGTAACACCATTGATCAGGGCCCCCAAAATAGTGAGTCTGATGGTAGGAGTACTCCTGGAAGCTAAGTGGTGTGCTGAGGGGACAGTTATGATTCGGAGTGTATTTTTCAGGTGTTAAAAATGTTAAGCTTGCCAGGTAAGGATAATAAGCTAATGCTGCAGTTGTACCATACACCAACAAAGATCTGTAGCGCTCCACTGCTCTTCTGTTTTGCCCATTCCAATATCTCAGGTGCTTCCAGATTGTAGGATCTACTGTCTGTCTGGAACATCAATCCCAGCAGTAATCTTGCTGATGTTCTAGGGAAGGCTTGTTGGTGTGTTTTCTCTTCAAATTCAACTTTCTGAATTTATTCCCAAGCTGTTGCCTTTCTTTATTAAAAGCTGAGGCACTCATTCTGTTTGTCTTTTCCTCTCCAGGATGGTGCAATGGATTTACTGAAAGAACTGAAAAGTATGCCTATGACTTTGGACTTACTGCAGGTGAGCTGCACGGTTAGGGTAGAAAGCTGAAGTCTGCATCTGAGTCCAAAATATTGTTTAAATAAACTTAATAGCTTTCCCTACTTCTTGTCTCACTTAAAACATCAAAATAAACATTAAATCCAGAAGACAGTACCAAACCTGGGTTTTGGACTGGCAGTTATAGTACTGGACCACTATGTGCTGCCTGAAACTTGTGCACAGCTGATGAGGGAAATGTGGGTAACTGTTCAAATCCTTTCTTAGGTTTCAAAAAGAGGAAAGACCAGATTAAAGTAGCAAACACAAAGGGCAGCCATTGGAGAAGTTCTTTAAGTCTTTGTAATGGTGATATTCAGGACACTGGGGAGGTGTGAACAGAATTACAATTCAGAGATTAAGATATGTATCTTGGATTTTTCACTCTAAGCTAGAATGTAATATTTAGATATGTAGAGAAGGTATTTGTGGGTGATTGGATGTCTAGCCTCTGATTGGTTTAAACTGGAGAGCGTCATCTTGCACTTCCAACGCTGAAAGGAGATAATCATTCTGCAAGTCCTTGGATACTTCATATCTTGGTCATTGCTTTGTCATGTTTATTTCTGATTTCAGTTTGTAACAAATAACGAGTCTGTTCTTGAATGATTCATTTGAATGTTCACTTGCAGTCCACACGCATTGGAATGTCAGTAAATGCACTAAGAAAGCAGAGCACAGATGAAGAAGTGATATCGCTTGCCAAATCCCTCATCAAATCTTGGAAAAAACTTTTAGGTAAGAAAATCAGCATGTTCCTGTCAGATCCAACTTGTGAAGGATTTGGCTTCAGTGGGAGATGGAGTTTCTCAAGAGAGCTTATCTATTGATCTGAATAGAATATTCTAGCGGATGAGCCTTTACAATTGCACCCTCTGTCTTTCAAGTTTTGTCTCCTGCCATGCATTCCTCTAGATTTAGCTCCTGTTTAGCTAGCTCATCGTTGAAAGAGCATTGAAAGCTTCAGGACTATTCTTAATGTGTACCTGTCTGTATAATAATTAGGAGCATTATTTGTAGAAACAGTATCTGCCCTCTGAACCCTCTGCCCCCACTTCTGTGCTGTGTGGCATTAATACAGCGTGTGCTGTCAGCCTCGTGCAACGGCTCGGAAAGAGAAATGCTGGAATGCATTTTGGGTGATGAGTTGGAGGTGGAACTTAGTTTAACACCTTGTAGACAAATTCACATGGACTGTTGCCTGCTGGGGAGGCTTTCATGGTGATGAACACTGATAAGCAGAAGCTTGTAATTCTGTCTGAGAAATATTAATACTGATGTAGCACAAACTAATGTCAAACTTACAGATGGAGGGATTACAAATATGGTCTTAGTGGTTACCTTTGTGATAAAAGAATGAGGCATCTGCAGTGCCGAGATTGGAAGGGCAGCTTTACCTGTGTCCTGCTAGCAAGACTGTGTGTGTCCCACTCTATACTAGTGACAAAGTACCCCAATGTGAAATTCAAACACTCCTTACTTTTTAAACTGATCTCTTGGGCACCTGTGTGTAACAAAGAACAAGAGTGATGTGGTGTCTGAGGTTAAGTGAAATGTGCAGCTGGCTCTAGTCTGCACCCCAGGGCTCCCCATTTCTTGATAGGCTAAATGAGTGTCAGAAGCACTGTTTTTCTGTCCTGGCTAGGACTGTCACTTCCACATTAGGGTTGATGTGTATTGGCTATGCTGAGATAGTTTACCTCTGGGTCAAACTTGTTCTACAGTGTCATGAAAGTCCTCTCCAGGGTTGTGCTATTGGCTTTTGACAGCACTTGGGAAACACTAAAGTTGTATTCCCAGAAGGACTAGCCTGTACTGGCCCTTCAGGTGGTGTTGGCTGGAAATGCTTCTTTTAGTGGTGCTTTAGAGAACTTGATCTAATCTCTACTCAGCAGCCAGGGTGTCTCTGAAAGAAACTTTTGTGATGAGGCATGTCTTGTGAGGAGGCTTATCTCCTAGGCAGGGAAGGTGATTGCTCTTTAGTTTCGTGAGGAAAGCTTTTGTTTGAATTAGTTTCTACTTAAAGGCAAGCAAAGGGTCTGTTGGAAAGCATGGAAGGCCATAAAGGTGTTCTTTCTCCTGATTCTTTTTGGAGAATAATAACTTGCCTTAGGCCAATGCTGTGTAGTGTTAAGACATTGATTAGTGTATGTAGGGTTGTAGCATAAAGACCTGTTCTGAACCCTTTATCATCAATTTCTCTTCTTTTGAATATAGATGCTTCTGAGGAAAAAAGTGAGGAGAAAAAGAAAAGCCTGTCCTTGCCAACATCTTCCTCGAAGGAGACTGGTAACTCAAGAGACCAAAGGTAATGCTTTCCTTTAACCAAAGATGATGCTGTTACAGAATTATTATGTTACAGAGTTTTCTTAAGGCACCTTACACTAATTTTTATTTTTAAATGTCTGAGTTGTGAATTTTTTGTAGTCAAATTCCTGGTCAGAAGCACCAGAAATGTAGACTTCAGAGATGATCTGTGTGGTGTTTTTAATAAATTGTAATGCAGAAATATACATCTACAAAATACAGTGGCTTTAGTGAGTTTTTTGATTTTGTTCACATCTTATTTCTTGGTTTTCTACTCTTGGTTATGTGTTGATTTTTCTATTAGTAAAACATTCCTCTGTTCTATTTTGGATTGCATTTTTATATATTTTTGCTTATTTCTAACTTTGAACTCCTTAGAATGAAGATTATTTTTGGCCTTTGCAATCTCAAGTGATGGATGGGATTGATTGATACATCACTAGAGTAAAACTTCCATTTCTTTGTCCTTGACAAGTCCCAGCAGAAATCCTCTTTTCACTCTGGACTGATGTCCACTCATCTGGCAGGTCTGCTGCATGCTTGCTTCTTGCCATGCCTTGAATGTTGCATCCCATTTCCACTGTCTGCCACTGCACTTGCCAAGCTGTTGAGTGGAGGCAGTGATCAAAGGGGAGGGGGCAAATGCGATGTAAAGCTTTGTTCTAGAGGTGAGAGACTTCTCTCAGCCTCAGATACCAGGAGGGTGTGTGCTTTGTAGGTTTGACCCTGAAGTGATTTAGCCAATTTCCCAAGTTTGCCAGAAGATTTAGAGTATTAAGGCTGTAGTCCTGCTAGTTTGCAAGCTCTTCCATGTTTGCAGCCTGTCTTTGTTGGTCACTTTCTTGTCACTCTACCCTTTGCTTTTTCTTTTCCTTTTTTGCTCAGATCTCTCAAGGCTTGACACTTTGGTGTGAGCCTTTGCAGCTCTATACAGAGCTGCTGATGGAGAAGGCTACTGATGCTGAGCTACATAACTTTAATTGACATGCATCTTTGGTTATCTCACTTCCATAAAATGTGAAAAAGGATTTGCTAAGTATTGCAATGGAAGCACTGGGGAGACGTCACAGCCAGAATTGAGTCTTGTAGTGATGCAGTGCAATGTGGGAGCTGGGGCTGTCTAGAGCTGTGTGTATCACACATCCAGTGGCAGTCTGGTATGTCAGTGGTACGGGGGTAAAAGCAGTAGGATGGAGTCTCCCAGCTGTTCCATTGAGAGGAGATGAGAGTTGGAGGCCAAAGAGCAGTCAGTGGTAGTGGAGAAGGGTTTGCTGTGTAAGCTGAGAGTTGGCCTGAGCAGTATCACCAGCCTCGTGATGCAAATACCTTCTCTTCATGATCTTATACTCTAAAGGGCAGACTGGTGTACTGCCTTCCCTAGGGTGTGGACACAGAAAAGATCTGTTGGAGGGCTGATGAGGGTAGGAACTGAGTCAGTCATGGCTAAGAGCCTTTGTGCGTGCCCTTACTGGTAAAGGGAGGCAGATTTCCCTCCGGGGTAAGGGCAGAAGCCTGCATGGAGGTACTTGTTGGCTGTTCCTGAGGGGGAAAGAAGGCAAGCATTACCAACTTGGCTGGTACTGCTCAAGCCAGGAAGTAGTATTGCAGTTCAAAGAAAAAGGGAAGCTTCTGACTTAACCTTTGGAAAATTGACCTTGCAGAATGTGGAGCCTGGAGGGAAGGAAGTATGAGACATTCCCTGGGCACAGTGGCAGTAGGCATGTTATGAGCAAATGAGCTGGGCCTGCTCGGGCATCTGGTTTGAAGGCTGAGGCTTGTAGTAATTTCACTTGGAAAAGGATCCTGGCTGTAGGTAGAGAGGCAAAACCCCACTGTCTCCCTGCTTTGTCAGACAGTTAGTGTGGGCTATGTGGAGTGGAGCTTTCTGGCTTGTGCTTCTAATGCTCCCCTGTGCCTTGATGTGCTGCAGATACTGCAGGTGTTGTTTTTTGTTTTTTTTCCTTCTTGATGCTTTCTACATGTATTCAGCCTCCATCTTCTGAATGGCAAAGCATCCCCTTGGTTGTGCAGGTTAAACAGAAGCAAATGGATTAGTGTAGCATAGACCAGCAGAAGTGGCTAGCTCCTGGTGTCAGTCTGTTGAGCCAGGCTGTCTTTACAGAGACAGGAATGCTTATTCTCTAGTGCTGCAAAATAAGCTGCTAATCTGCCTTGACAAAAAAAAATAAATTATTAGCAGTGAAGAGTCTTTGTTCTTTGAAGCACAGGCTGTGATGAAGGGAGTCTGACTAGTTGCTCAGAGTGTGATAGCTGGTTCAGATGAGGCTGCTATCAAGACAACAAAGAGATCAGCTTGTATTCAGATATTTCAGCCACTTAGATTTTTGGCTAGGCCTTCCTCTTCTGTCAGGGAGAAAAACTTGAATAGCTCTTGGCCTGAAACTTTTCTTGCTTTCTGGAACACAGATGTAGAAATCCCTCTGTAGTGACTAGAGAGCTAGCACTGAAGACCTGAAGGCTCTGAGCCAGCCAGTGTGGTGCTGGCACCTGTGAAGTTATATACTGCATTACTGTAATCCAAAGCATATTCTGTTGTGCTGTAGTATTTTAGACCATTGGTGTGGTACATTTTAATGGGCTATATCTAATGTTTCTCTGTCTCTGGCAGCATGAGCTTTTTCTTTTCCAGGATTCTCTAAACTGCCTTTATTAGGAGGTCTTGGATCTTGGCCTGAATTCAGCTCTTCCATGGGATTTTCTTCCAGTGTAGCCCTGAGTTCTGCTTGCAGTCCCTGGCTGTTGCTTTGCCACCATTTTGCTCCAGCATAGCCTTTTTTATGTATAAACTTTTGTTGCCTGGGTAGATTTTACAAGCTCTTTCTCCTGTTTAACAGGAACAGTGTGAACCACAATGATTTCCTGAAATAAGTCTTATAGGTGTGTTTGAGCTCTATTTCCCAACTATTCTAATTATAAACGAACTTCTAAAGCTTAATGAATAACTTTCTGTACAGTCTTTGGAATGACTGAGAAGTCTGTTTCCTCTAAATCATGAGTGATCAGTTGTCATCTCAGGGCATGTATGACATATACGTGTATGTAGGTGAATATGTCTTTACTCATCAGCTAACAGAAGTGGGATAACCATGCATCTTGTCTAGCTTTTTTCTACCTTCAGGGAATAAACATCTAAATATTTAAGTCAATAGCATTTGCAGATAGAACCTTCCTGAAAATCAAGTATTACCTGTGCAAGTATTAGTTTAAAGACCTGGCTTTAAGTACTGGACGTGGTGAAGGTCAGTGTTGAGAATTCACACGCAGTGTTTTGCTCTGGGATACCTTAGCGTCGCTGTTGCTTGCAAAATGAGACAAAAGTTAAAGCTAGAAGAGCTCTTGGGAAGCGTTGTCCTGCCACCCCTTCCCAGGACAGCACAACCTCTGCCCAAGCTGTCCCTGACAGGCCTTTCTCTAAGCTCTTCTTTGACAACCCTAAAAAACCTCAGAGTAAGACATTTCCACAGCTGCCCTTGGCAGTATCTTCTAATTCATAACTCACCTTTACAATTTGAAACTTGCTCTCCGTCAAAACCTGTCTTGCTAAGACCATTTCTTCATGCTTTTGTTGTCTTTAGCAAGTATGGAGGATTTTTCCTACCATCTTCCTTTGTAACAAGTTTTCCAGTATTTCAGGACTTGTCTCCTCTAAGTCTTCCCAGCTGCAAACCACTCTGATTCCTTCAGTCTTTCCTTTTATTGTAGGTATGTTTTCTAGGCTTTTTGCCTTTGTCCTTTGGGAAGTCTCATTTTTCCAAACTGTTTTATGCAACATTATCAGCTGTGACTTTTAGATGAGTTATTCCTGAGTTGTGTATGCTTTACTATATACACCCCCACGTGTGCTGCCTGTGATTTGTGCATAGCTTCTTAAGCACAAAAGTACCTGATGGCAATTTGTACATCCCAGATGGGAGAAGATCATCATCTAATTAACTATCTGCAAGCTAAGTTGTTTTTTTTGTAATATGTACAGTGTAAATCCTATTGAATGTTTTGAGCTGTTTGGTCACAAATCTGTTCCTTAATAGCCTCCTGCAGTGCTGACCAGTAAAACTAGCTGGTAAAAAATGTTTTTTATTCAGCTAGTGGTCAAAGAGAAACACAAGCAATAAAATCTCCCTTGTAGAGTGGATCTATTTCATCTGAGCAGAAAATTAATCTTTTGCTATGGTTTGAGCTGAACAGTTTCCTGAAGGTGCACTGGTGGATGCTTCTTAAAAGGGCCTGGTGAGGTTTTGAACTGTGGAAATCCAGTAGCTCTAATGAGGATCTACGGGCTTTGAGGCACTGCAGAGCCAGACTGGATTTGAACCTAGCAGCAGGGTCTCCCAGGATAAGTCCCTGAAGTTGTCTGGCTCAGCTTGTGTGGCAGCAGATTCAGAAGGTTTTCAGCTTAGCGCTGTTTTGCTGTGGGCTGACTAATCCCTTCCAGGACAGTGTAGTGGAAGTGCCTGTTCATAACTCATTTGATGGCAAAGAACTGGCAGTAGTGACCCAGCTTACCAGAAATTGTCAAGCCAGTTGGATCATCAAGGATATGGTGCCAGTATGGCATGGGTGAAATATCAGGACTTCTCTTTTTTTTCCTTTGTCTCTTACTGCATTAATGTTACCAGGCATTGGCCATAAATACAGTGCGTTTTATGGTCCAAACACTAAAGTCAGAGCAATCTCTGCTGAAAAAATTGCTGTTCTGCTGCCTAGATTTAAGGGGGGTTGGGGAAAGCTCTGTAAAATCATCTGGGAATCATAATAGCCCAAATCTTTTACCAGCAGTATTTGCAGGGCTAACTAACTCTATGTGCAGATGTTAGGCTTTACAGGCAAGACATCTCAACACTATGGGTGTACACCCAGCTGAGTGAAGTTACTTCTCCAGCATGCAAACCTCGCAGCAGTGTGTGCAAGCCCAGCCTCTGTGGTGATTCAGCCTGCCTGCATCATGCAGTGATTCTGTGCCTTCAGTCTCTCCAGCCAGCTCCCCTGGCAGATGACCTGGCTGAGGCAGCCACAGCAGGCAGGTGTTTGCATTCCTTTGCCTGTGCCTGTGATTGCTTGCAGGTGGAAATGAAGTTATTTTTGTGATTGAAGCAGTATTTATTAGTCCTGTGCTAGCCTGGCACCTGTGCAAGCTGTGTGTGGTTGTGTAGGGGTGCTCTTCTGTGAGATGAGTAGTCAAAGAGTCTTGTCCGGATTACAGGAAAAAGGAAGATCCTCTTACGTGTTATGCTTTGTTGTGGTGTTTTTTTTAATATTGGAGCTGAAGGAGCCATTTTCTTTCTTTTCCTTAGCATGGCAGTTCCTTCTGGAGGGGTTAGTGTAGGCTTCTCTGATTTCTGCCCCAGAAGGCAGTGTGCTGCACTCCTTGTTGGCTACAGAGAGCTAGAGTGCTTTTTTTGTTTAGCTGTTCTCTTTCCTGCTGCTGAGATCTTGGCAGTAAAGGATATGAGATGAGGAACCAGCTGAGATTAACCTTAGTGGTGGCTTCTGCTCCCTTTCTGCTGAGAGCAGTTATGGACTTGGTGTCCTGGCTAAGTAAGAGAGGAATAAAGTACCATGCATCTGTGCACTATGCTACCAGACTGAGAGAGTGCTGATGGTCTTGGGAAGTCCTGAGTGTATTTGAGTTACTGATGGTGTCCAACAGCTTTGTAATATTTTCACTTGATGCCCAGTTGTGCAGCAGTTGTGATACATGTTGAATAACAGAAGTTGGTTGGCAGGCCTGCTTCATGGATTAAATCCTCCATTTACAGCCAGCAGAGTCCCCAGGAGAGCTCGTATCTGGGTTGGTGGTGTTGGCTGATGTATTGCACTATATGCTGATTTGGGGCAAGTGTCTTTGCACTGTTTTCCTCTGACTGGTTTTGTATTATGATTAACAGGATGCTTGGCCACATACCTGCTGATCCCTTCTCTGCTCTCAGTGACCTGAACTGAGACATTCTGACAGGTGAAGTTTCTCTTTTAGCTCCAACAAAAGGCAGGAGCCTCCGAAGACTCCAACCACCCCCAAAATCACCACCTTCCCTCCGGCGCCTGTCACCTGCGATGCTGTCCGCAACAAATGCAGAGAAATGCTGACAACAGCTCTACAGGCTGATGGTAAGTGCTGGGGGAAACCCTGCATTGCCTAAAGTGCTTCACAGCTCCTGGTGCATTCTGACAGAGTTCTGGCAGGTCAGTGCCAGCTCCTCTTAGATATTCTCTTCTGGAGCAGCCTTGTCAAAGGATTATTGCCATCAGCTCAGTCTAGCCACTGGTCATCCCTTTGACAAACTGGCTGGCATTGCAGCATTTTTAGACACTTGCACATGGACCTGGCTGTAAAGTGAAGCTGTCATCTCTGCTTACCCTTGGGGCGCAAAATGAAGCTGTAACTCAATACATGGAATTGGCTGGTAATGGCGCTTATGCCAGCCACCATCTGCTCTTAGAATCCCCTGCCTTTGCAGACTGGAGCCCCTTAAACACTGTGTTCCTCTGTGGATCTGGGGTGGAACAGGTTTGTCTTGTGCTCAGACTGTGCCATCTAAAATGGGAGGCCAACTGCAGGTGCTCAGTATCTCTGAAAGTCAGGTTTTAAACACCTCAAGCTGAACACATACTTGTGTCTAAATTGCCAATCCCTTTGGAAAATTGGGGTCTAAGCACTGCAGAGTCTTATTAATTTGGAGCCAAGGAATGTAGACAGCAGATGGAGAAGTTCACAAAGTCTTTATTTCTAGCCTTCCTGTGTGCATGCATGTGTTTATATATGCTGCATTAAATATTTGTATAACTCTTAAAGAAACCCTTTCCATATGAAGTCTGGGAAGGAGTCCCCTTGAGTCTTGCTAAGCTCAGCCCTGTTCTGCCCTATCTTCCCTGCTTTATGGTGTTGGTTACCATACCTGGTGTCCAAACTCATAGCAGTTATTGCTCTCTATATGTTGCTGTTTAATTGCCATGTGAAAGAAGAGGGGAGGGGCAGACAAAGTCCTGAGGTAAGAAGAGAAATGAAGACTTGATGCAGTTGCTGCCTGCTTTTTCAGGCCCTGACAGATTGTTGATCTGAGTAGAGCTACTTCTCATTGTCACCAATATCTGATGAGACTCAATTCCTGCCTATATATGTTTGATTTCAACTATACCAAGAATATATTGGAAAACTATGTTCTGAGGCCAAGGTTCTTGTTACCTTTGTCTAGTGCAGTCCATCTCCTAGAGAGGCAGAGGGCATAGACTGGCTGGATTGGTCTATTTTCATCACTGCCCTTGTCAAAAGGGTCAAAGGGTAGCTAGAGCAAAGGCCAAGATGCCATTTGATGGAAAGAGCATGTAAATCAAAATAGCAAACTATCTAGATTTGTGTCTCAGAAATACTGAGCCTTGGGACCCCTTGCGTGGCTGGAAGTCATTGACCTCATGTTTCTCTTGTCTTACAGACGACTATATTGCCATTGGTGCCGACTGTGAGCACATAGCAGCCCAGATTGAAGAATATATCCTTACTGTACGGGGCTTCCTCAAGGGCCTGCATGTCTCCAGGCCATGAAATGAATGTGCTCTGAGGAAAAAATGGGACAGTCTTTCTTTGCATAAATGTTCTGCTGCAACTCTGCTTGTCAGGGTTCTGGGTCTGGTTCCAGCTCTGCTTGGCTGACTCCTGGGACACTAAGGAACCACCAGTGTGGTGTTGGGAGCTCAGGGCAGACCCCTTGCTGGTGTGATGGACATGGTTATTTCCTTCCTGTTCGCACCATAATGGACTGTAATCTCCAGTTTGTCCTTCCCATCAGCATGAGATTTCCTGCTCTCAGCTCTGCTTCCAGATACATGCAACTTCCCTGTGCCTCCCTGTGGAGGAGAGTGTGCTGATATACACAAAAGCAATGGGAAGGATGGAGCAATGAGGATCAAGCTGCATGTTGATTTGAGATAAGGCAGGAACTTGCTTGGTTTGGGGGGCTGTGGGGTAGGAGGTGCAGCTGGGTTCTCTTAGCGGAGGGTTTTGTGGCTACCTTGCTGAAAGAGCAGGTTGAAGAACCTGAGCATAACTGAAAATAAATATTATTTCCAGCACAGTGAAAAAGCCAGAACTGAAAGCCCCTGGACTCTGGGATGGTATAAGCCTGCTCTCAAATACAGCATTAACCTCCCAGACCAGACAGTACTGTTGGGTCCCAGCACCCTTATCTGTGTCCTGGCAGCAGTTAACACTCCCTGCTGTTCATGAGTGGTGTAGAAAGTGCTTGGAGGTCTCTGGGTTGATTGCAGACTCCTTGACTATGATGTACGCATATACCAAGATGTCAAGAACACCGACATGAAATACAAAAACCGAGTGAGGAGCCGCATCTCGAATCTGAAGGACTCCAAAAATCCTGAGCTGAAAAAGAATGTGTTGTGTGGGGCGATTACCCCTGAGCAGATTGCGGTGATGACCTCGGAGGTGAGGAAGCCTGAGGAGCAGGGTTTGCTGCTTACAGGGGATGTCCTGTGGTTTAGCTTGAAGCAAGGGGCTTGTCAGCTGCTGGGGTTGCAGATTTCTCAGCAGCTGCTGCCAGAGTGCATAGGGAGTGAGCTAGCAATGGGGTTTGCAATGAGGAGAGTAGTCTGGTACTTCAGATCATCATGGGGGCCTAGATATGAACCAGAAACCGGGAATGAAAGTTTTCTGTCTTTATACCCATCTGTTAGACCATCCTGTCCTGTTGACTCTTTCCACTGTAGTGGGTGTGGTGGTGAAACTGGACAGATGTGATTTTATTGCTTTTTTTGAAAGGAAATGGCCAGTAATGAGCTGAAAGAGATCAGGAAAGCCATGACGAAAGAAGCAATCCGGGAGCATCAGATGGCCAAGACAGGAGGGACGCAGACTGACCTCTTCACCTGTGGGAAATGCAAGAAGAAGAACTGCACCTACACCCAGGTTAGTCTTCCTGCTCTTACAGCTTCCACACCGTTGACCTCTGCACAGGACATGATCTGTCACGGTCACGAGCTCTTACTGCTCCATGACAGGCCCTGTGGCACAGCACAAATTTTGCCAATGATGGAGAGAACCTTTTTGTACACTCAAGGCTCTCTAAAACATACTGCTTTTGCACAACGATTTTGCACCCATTTCCTTGGAGCTTGTGTAACTTTTATTTGGCTCATTTGTACATGAGCAGGGGTTGTGCAGTCCCAAGGAAGCTTTCAAAAGTAGAGTAGTGCTGCTTGCTGTGCAGCTCAGGAGAGCTGCACATCGAAAGCAGGTACTGGGAATGTGGATATTCAGACAAGAAAAGAGTGGGTAGTGTAGAGGAGAGAGACTGCAGAAACCGAGGCGGGCATGTTGATAGTATTAAAAGTGCAAATTAAGAATGTAGGTAAGCTGCGGCTGGACAAATCTCAATTAATTTAAAATCAAACAACATGAAGCAGGTGAAACATAAGGAATAAAGGAAGCAGTGATGTGAACAGGCAGAGGGGATTTTCCTTCTTGATGGACAGCTGCTGGAAGCCTTGTGCATTACCAGTGCTTTTTAGTTCCCATGTTCGCGCCAGGCATCTGGAGATAAATGTGCCTTTGCTGTGAGTCAGTGTTTTAGAATGCGCAGATACCCAAAAATGCACCAGCAACCACGCGATTGCTACTGAGTGGGTGCGCACAAACTGCATGTGCAAGCGGCGAGTGAAACTCCTTCATATGCTTGGACTTGACATGCAAATGCAGATGAGAGCCAGGCAGCTGACCAGGGATTTTCCTTTGGCTCAGCAGCAGTCTTGCATCCCACAGGCTGGCTCAGGCGAGAGACCTCGCTCTGTGAGTGTGTCCCAGTTAAGTCAGCTGGAAGCACTGCCTGGGCTGTCTCGCTTGCCTCAAGCAGCACAAGGGACTCTGTCTCCACCTGTAGTGGACTGGAGTCCGACTGCCTGTAATTGGGGCAGGTGATGACAGTGTCTTCTAAATAGAAATATCAGGAGGTTTTCTGTATTTTTGTTAGTTTTCCAGTGAAATCACTATTTGGTGACTGAGATGTTTTAAGTTCCAAGTAGATGAACTGGCATTTATGAAGTGTTGGAAGCCAGGCAGTAACGTTGGGTGAGAATTACAGAATTTATCTATCCAGCATGCTTGCAAAACATGCTTAATTTGCATCATGCGAATACTGTGACTCTTGCGTATTGGGTAATTACACATGTAGATCACCATAATTACCCCTCGGCATAGTTCTGCTGACTTGCACAGGGTGTGCCAGTATTTTCAGTGTAGATCTGCATTGTGGTATTCAAATGCCATGAAAATCTGATTTTTAGCAAAGTATGTGTTGCTGGCAAGAGCTTGTCAGAGGCAGCAGTCACATCTGGGTTAAATATCAAGAGTTCCTTCATAGCTCAAATATAAAACAGACTGGAAATGTGCAGAACCTGGTAACCCACAGCATGTTCCTGTGAGGCCAGGACATAGGACTGGTCTGTAAATGGGAATGGCTTGAGTGGGTTTTTTTGTATGTGTCGCATGTGCTGGATGGGCTGGGGGTTTTGTCGTCTCGCTGCTGGCTGCCTCCCTTCCCCGGGGACAGCACAGGGAGGGACCGGCTGTGGGTATGTCTACCTCCAGAGCCATCTGCGAGGAATGGGCAGCAGAGAGGGTGAGGAGAGAAATCTACTGCCCTAAAACATGTCACTCTGGGTAGTGTCAGGAGGGAGAGAGAGGTCATGAGATGTGTGTAAAACAATAACCAGACTAATTTTACAGGGAAAAGCTCCTTTTGCCCTCCCAAGCCTCAGTCTCTCATTGATTTCTGACAGTGTGACCCCAGCAGAAATCCCTGGTGGCCAGAGGGACAGGGAGCTCCCTGTGACCCCCCCCAACCTGCCACGGGGTCCTGTGTGATGCTCGGCTCTCATTTCCCTCATGTCCTCCTCCAGGTGCAGACCCGCAGCTCCGATGAGCCCATGACCACCTTTGTCGTGTGCAACGAGTGTGGGAATCGCTGGAAGGTAGCGCACCAAGGATATTACTGGCACTGAGGGGTGTTAGGGTAGCTGCACCCACGATGCTGCAGATGCTTAGCTGCTGCCCTCAGAGGTGCTTGCCAAATGCTGACTGGCTCTAGCAAGTGATCTTTCCTCCCATCACAGAGGCAAGAGCTCCTGGGTTCATCCCATCTCTGCAGACCAGCTGGGGTCAAGTCTCACTTTCACATTCCCTGCCTCCCTCCTCACATCCCCTCTTCTGCCATGATCAGCTTCACAGTGCTTTCCATGCTCCCTCTGCCCCCTGAGAGATGGTGGTGATGACATTCAGGATTTAAAAACTGCTCTTTTATACTGCGCACAGAGCTCGGGGGTGAGCAGAAATCTCCTGGTCAAAGGCGAGCAGAAATGGCACCGCTACCAAGTGCCAAAGAGCCACAGCCGAGAGATTGAAATGGGAGCTCTCTTTGATCCCTACTCTGGGGGCTGAGCCCTGCCTCTGCAGAATCCCCAAGCCCTGGCCAGCTTCAGAAACAAGACCATCACCTGGATCCCAATCTTCTCTTAGGCAGCACACGCATGACCTGCAACTCCTCTTGGCAGTGAGGTTTTCTAATCGGGGTTTAAACTCCCTTCTCTTGCAGTTCTGCTGATATGTGCCATGGCCCGAGAGCGGCAGCCAAACGCAGATCAGAGCGCAACCTCCATACGCCAGCTCCCACGGCAATTGTGTATTGTGTCCCAAGTGAGTTTGCATTGTCACGCGCTGAGAGAGCAGCTGCGGGGAGGCCTGCCTCTCTGCTTGGGTCTCAGTGGAGAGCCACGGCTGTGGGCTGACAGGTTGGCAGGAGAGCTCACTAAACACACTTAGTTGTTATTTTCTCATCTAAGCGAGTATTGTCACTTTTTCTTCAAAACTAATATTAAACATTTTTGTCAGTTTCTGACTTTTATTTGAACTGTGTGCATGCAGCTCTTTGCTTTTTGTGGTGTGGAACTGCATGGGAGCTTGACAGATGGGCAGTGTCCAGGTGGATGAGGACTGAACAGTGCCTGGACCACCAGAAAGTGAGAAGACACTTGTAGGTACATGCTCAGTGCGTGAAGGCTTGTTCCTAGTCAACTCATGAAATCTAAAACACTGGGCCAAGTCCTGGGGTGGCTGGGTGGGCAGTACTGGTCTTCCTCACCTGGCTGAGGAGAGCTGTTGATGGAACACAGCTTTTGAGGCACAGATCAGATGCTGCTTTCCATCTTGGCAGCATTCATTGATTTTTGTAGTGATGTGTACCTTGTCATCTCAGGCCTTTAAATGCCAACAGCAGAGGCTGCTGTGAAGATGAGAATGTGCTGCCCAGGTTGTAACAGACTGAAAGCAGGGTGACACCAGCCACACAAAAAAATACCAAACTTGATCTAGGAGAACAGGACAGGGAGGAAGGTGTGCCGGGCCCATGTGAGGTTAGCATTTCCTAGCATTCCATCCCCCTGTGGAAGGAGACCCTTGTAGCCAAGGGCTCCCTTGCTCCCCAGCTGGGAGCAGGGAAGGTCAGGGCTGTTGCAGGGAAGGGTCTGGCAGCTTGGTGCTATTCCTTGGTGCTATCCCTTGATGTGGCCATCATGCAGGGAACCTGGGAACAGTTGATTCAGGAAGGAGGTGGAGGGAATCCACTGGCTGGTGAGTGTGTTAAAAGGGAGTCCCAGGCACTTTCCTGCTTGTGTATGCTCTGCTCTTAGCTTGACAGCTGAAAGGCAGCCTGAATTTTCAGAATGACTTGCTGGAGAGGCTCAGGAGGAGGGGGAAATGCTGCAAATACAGGAAATTTTCCAGAGGCTTGGACCTGGAGGAGGTAGGGGTTACAAGTATCAGTGGGAACTGTTAGCTCTAGAAACAGATGAGGTTTGGGGTGAGCTTGGAGCTAGTGATTGGAAGGAGTGAGATAAAGAAAGGAGCTAGTAGCAAAGCAACTAGGTGCCTCAGGTGCCACATCTGCAAACATGACCTTGTGAAGGGGACCTGCAGGATCAGGCTCTTTCTGGGAGGTAACTAGAACCTGGTGGGGAAATTCTGTCTGTCCTCACAACAGCTTTCAGCCTGAGACTTAAAATCCCTCTTCTCTCCTTTTCCTAGCCTTTAACTGCGCTGATGCAGGATTTGGGGGACCCCAGTAAGGCCTCTGAACTTGAGGCTGCTCAGGAGCAGTCCTGTGCATTGCAGCTCTTGTGCTGACAAGCAGTGCAGGAGCATTTGCGGTCCCATCTCTTATGGCATCGCTCCCCTGTTCCAGAGTGAAAAACAAGTATTTCCACTGGCTTTTCAGCATGCCAGACAGCAGACATTCAACAGAGACCTTGGAGATGTTTAGAGCAGAGTGAGCAGCCACAAGAAAGCAATGGAAAAACGTGCTCGCAGCCCCTTTGAGGGCTGTGCTTCTCTGGAGGCAGGGATCCCAAGAGGATCCTTTGCTCAGGGCTTTCACTTTACAGGGTGTAGCCAAGTCTCCCAAGAAGGAAAAGATTCAAAGATGCTGACAACTCGTTTAAGCCTCACAAGTCTTGCGGCGAATGGGATTATTCAAGCCAGGCTTGGTAGGGAACAGTGTCCTTGCAGTAATGCTTAAAAAAAGCTTCAGGATCTGAAACCCAAGCTGGCCAAGGCATTCTGGCTTGTGTGCTGTGAACAGGAGCCAGCTAATTACCAGTTGCTGTTGCCTTTCTTCTTGTGTTACTGTCAGGGGGGGAGTTGAGCTTGGGTACAGTTTGCTGACAGTCCTGAATTAGGTAGGGAGAGTCTCAAGCAGAAGGAGCCCCTCGGAAGTGAGAGAAAAGTACTGTGTCTCGGGGCATTTTACAGTGCTGTTTTCTGGGATAACGCCAGGGAGGGGAAGGCCACTGGATAAAGAGGTGTCTCAGAAGTAAAGATTTGCTTATGAGGTGTTTAATGCTAGGATTGGGAGCAAGAGACAAACTAGATTATCTGGGGGCAGCGGGGTCTTCCCTGGACTGAGACCTCCATGGTGTGCAGAGGCTCTGACACCCCTGCCACACTCCGGAATGGCTTCAGGGATGTTCACCCTCCCACTGTCAAGATACTTCCTTTACCCACAGAACAAACCAAGCACCCAGAACTAAAACCTCCCCAGCACAGGGTGGGGATGCTGTGGGGCTGTAGCTGTGCAGACTTGGCACTTGCAGGGGAAAACCTGCCAATAACAACCAAATAATAACAATACCGACATTCCTGAACAAATGAGCTATCTCTGGTCTCTCTCAAAAGTACATTTTCTTGAATTGTATTTCCAGCTTGGCAAACAACACTAACTTTACTGACATGAATTTCCACGCAGTCATGCCACTAGGAAGGAAGGAAACAAAAAAGCCGAGCGAATTTTTTGGTTTGTTTGTTTAAAAAATATCTTCAATAAAAAGAGCGAGTGCCCTTTCTTTTTTCTTTGAAAGGGATGAAGAGAGAAGAAGGAGGGGAAGGGGTAGATAAATAGGAAACTACAGGCTGCTCTGGGTCAGGAAAGGCAAAGACTAGCATTGGTCTTCTGCAGCAGGGCTGAGCCGGTGCGTGGCCAAGCTGGGTGGTAGGACCCCAGCATTGGCTCCGTTTCACTGTGGAGGGCAGGGGCTGCTGGCGGAAATGTTTTAATTCTGGGTGCTGGGGCTTCAGTAAACCATTCCTCATGCCATACAAAAACCACATAGATATTTTAAATCTTCCCTGTGACATTTCCCATCCCATGTAGAGCCCTGCCTGCCCACTGCTCAGTGCCAAACTGCTCCTGAGGGACCAGGGCAGACCCCCGGGATTCTCCCCGCTGGAGGGGCAGGTGTGGGCCAGCCGGGAGCCTTCGCTTGTGGGGGTCCTGGTGCCTGCGGGTTTCTGCGGGAAGGTAAATAACACCTCCATGGCCTGTGAGCGTGTTTACCCCTTCTCTGAGGTCCATGAACTGAGGGTGCAGGATGCTCTGGGTTTGGGGTGACAAGCGTGTGGTGTCCCGGGGCTGGACCGGTGCTGACGTGTGCGATGGGGACCGGTGGAGGGGGCAGCTGTAGGGCAGCCCCTGCCCACCCTCCGAGCACATCCTCATGGTCCCACGGTCCCTTCTGGCCGCTCCAGAGGCCCTTGGACAGCTTCAGAGACGGGGGGCCATGGCCCCTGGGTGTTGCCTGCCCTCTGCTCCATCCAGCCAGGCTGCAGCACTGCTCCCCATGCTGTCGGCTGCTTCAAACAGACGGAGGAGTGATGTAAACCTGACAAGTTTTTATATGTACAGAGACGCTTGCCAAACCCCCCCTCCCACCCCTCGAGTCCCCCAATAAAAGCCAACAAAAGAAGCATTTAAAATAAAAAAAAA